TGCACTACCCGACTCACTGGACCCTCTACAGTTCGCATACCGCCACAACAGGTCCACTGTTGATGCCATAGCCCTGACACTACATACTGCCCTGTCACACCTGGAGAAGAGAGACACGTATGTGAGAATGCTGTTTGTAGATTACAGCTCAGCATTCAATACCATCGCCTCTGTCAGTGCGCCCCAGGGCAGCTGTGGCTACAATGTAGCTTGCCATCGCCAGTGTGTGAATGTGTGTGTGAATGGGTGAATGACTGAATGTAGTGTAAAGCGCTTTGGGGTCCTTAGGGACTAGAAAAGCGCTATACAAATGCAGGCCATTTACCATGCCATCGTTCCCTCGAAGCTGGACAGGAAACTGCAGGATCTAGGACTGAGCAGCTCCCTCTGCAGCTGGATCCTTAGCTTCCTGTCTGACAGACGCCAAGTGGTCAAACTGGGCAGCATCACCTCATCCCCCGTCACACTGAACACTGGTGCTCCACAGGGGTGTGTACTGAGCCCTCTCCTGTACTCACTCTACACCTACGACTGCACGGCCACTAACAACTCCAACATCATTGTGAAGTTTGCGGACGACACTACAGTGGTGGGTCTTATCACTATTGGTGATGAGACGGCTTACAGGGAGGAGGTCAGCGCCCTGACCCACTGGTGTCAAGACAACCATCTCACCCTCAACGTCGCAAAAACAAAGGAGTTGATAGTGGACTTCCGGAGGTGCAGAGAAGTACACACCCCCATCACCATCAACGGCGCTGCTGTGGAGAGAGTGAGCAGCTTCCGGTTCCTTGGTGTACATCTGGCTGAGGATCTTACGTGGTCAGTACACACAAATAAAACAGTGAAGAAGGCGCAGCAGCGCCTCTTCTTTCTCAGGAGACTGAAAAGATTTGGCATGAGCCCCCGCATCCTCAGGACCTTCTATCACTGTGCCATTGAGAGCATTCTCACTGGATGCATCACCACCTGGTATGGCAACAGCACCGCCTACAACCGCAAAGCTCTCCAGCGAGTAGTGCGGTGCTCTGAACGGATAATTGGAGGTGAGCTTCCCTCCCTCCAAGACATCTACAGGAAGCGGTGCCTGAGGAAAGCGGGGAGGATCATCAAGGACTCCAGTCACCCCAGCCATAAACTGTTCAGACTACTTCCATCAGGAAGGAGGTTCTGCAGCATCCGGTCCCGTACCAGCAGACTGAGAGACAGCTTTTTCCATCAGGCCATCAGACTGCTGAACACGTCATAGACACCTCAGCTTCACTACTGGAACTTTAACATTATGCACTCCATACTGTACAATAACGCCACTGTTTTGCACATGTCTCACTCTGTATATTTTATTTTATATATTTTATTTATTGTTTACTCTATTTAATTTGTAAAATATGTGTACACACACACACACACACACACACACACACACACACACACACACACACACACACACACGTAGAAAAATATTTAGTATACACATCCAGAAATGCATATACTATTATATATTGTACATATATTTATTAGTTTCAGATGTAGCCATTCTTGTATTTTGCTTGTTTACATTATTGTATTTTGCACAACTCTGTTGCTTGTGAAGCTGGCACACAAGAATTTCACTCACATGTGCTGTACCAATGTACCTGCACATGTGATGTGACAATAAAAGTGATTTGATTTGATTTGATTTGGAAAGTGTGTGTGTGTGTGTGTGTGTGTGTGTGTGTGTGTGTGTGTGTGTGTGTGTGTGTGTGTTTTCTCTCCCTCCCATGATGCTCTCAGTGATTGTAAGCTTTTATTTTGAAGTTATTGTCACACCGTTTCACATCATTGCATTCAGTACAAGATATAGTAGGAAAGTATCTATATTCACAGCCAGACATTGTCAGCATTTTTGATTTATTGTGCCCATGTACAGATACAGATGTAATTGTTAATTCTAAACTGTGGAATAGTTGACTGCTTACTGAGATTATTAAGTTCTACTGAAACTTTAAAAATGCCTCAAAGCCTGTTTTGGTTTCCTTTGGTTTTTTTTGTATCGTATAGTGAAAGTGACTTGTCTCTCTGTATGGATAACCATATTTTCTTGCTTGTGTTTAAGCTTTTAATTTGAAATGTAATGTGTATTTCCCTTTTTTTCCAATTAAAGTCAAACATTGCCTTGCAGAAAACCTTTATAATCGCTGTATGCTGAGCAATCACAATTTAATTCACCTTCATTACAAAATGTATAATGCCAACACGTTCTGGGATTAGGACTAAAGCTTCAAACTTTTTTATGTTGAACTTTTCGTGGCAGTTCAAAGTGATTTTACCTAAAACATGAAAGACCTTAAAAAAAGGATCCCAAGGCAGGATTGAAAAGATACCTTTCAGTGGGATTTAACAGGGGAAAAAATCAAAAGAATGGAAGCCAAACATGAGTTGAAATAAAAAGAAATGGATAAAACTAGAAAATAAAGGTTACAAAAATGAAATAATGATCTGATTCAGGTCATTTAAATGCGAAGGCAATGAGAAAAGTTTGATCTGTGATTATAAGTACTGAGGAAGTTTGTTCCTATAATGTGATATAAAAGATGTATAAATATATCACATAATGGCTCTGTGAAATGAACACAGATTTGGCAATATTAGTCAGATCAACATATTTAAATTTGGTATAAATATTAGTCATCATCAGAGATCATAAAGTGTAAAATATTCCCATGACCATTAGGGATATTGATGTGGAGATTCATTTTCTAAGGATGTCACAGCTCAGAGAAATGAAAGATACTCAGGTTAGACAGCCAACAGTGCAGGTATAGTATTAAAGCATTAACTAAATACTTATTGGAAATCAGTAATAACTTTGATATCAACTGTTTAAGTCATTAATGATATACTGTGTGAGTTTTTGCTCCTTTCTTCCTGTCTGTGCTCCAACAGGAGAGTGCGATGGCCAGGCTTCATTAAACATGAATTTGAATATTTTACTCAAATAGCCTCTGAAGTCATCAGATCATGTGATGGATGTGCAGCTGGCAACCTTGTGATGCTGTTATGTCCATTTGGACACAAATCTCTCCAGAATGTGTCCAGCACCTTGTTGAATCTCTGCCACGAATAATTAAAGCAGTTCTGAAGGCAAAAAGGGGCTCAGACTCAGTGCTAGATAGGTGTACAGTGGGCAGTGAGTATATGTTTCCTTGAAAATTTATTTGAGGATTCAGTTTGGCTGTTCAGTAAAGGAAGCACCTCTTTATTGTAAACAAATCAAGGGAAAGGAAAGCACTAGCAGTAATGTGTTATTTAAGCACAGTGCATTTACAAACTCACCTGATCAAAACGGCCTGACTGTGTTTGATAGTCATCTTCTGCCATCTTCTCCTCCCTCTCTCAGAGCTTGGTGCTGCAAGTTGGCCAAGAAATGCTGGAAGAGGAAGCCCGAGAAGCTGAGAGGGAGAAAATGCAGTACTTGGAAGAGAATTGCACAGCCCTTTTCATTCCTGGCAGTATGCAGGATCTCCAGGTAAACCTACGGCACCTGGAGAATTTGTTCATGACTGATGATTAACTTAGCAGGCTTTTTGTTCACCTATGGAAGCTGTAGTTTGGTTTTAGAGGAGAAAGTATTTGTTCTGGTGCACTTGCCTTTAACATCCATAACATCACCGGAAAATGAAAGTGTGCAAGCTCTACTCTTCCTCTGTATCCATCCCCTACCCAGCAACTATAGAAAGTTGGAGATGATAGAAAACTTGCTTTGTAAGAAAAATGTTCAGGATAGTACACTGCTGTTAAGTGTGTCGTGTTTATGATTGAAAAAACAGACAAACAAATAAACTTTCTCACTCCTTCTATCTATCATAACTCCAGGAGCTGTGTTGCAAACTTCACAAGCAGATTGATTTGGTGGATGAGGAGCGATACAACATGGAGGTCAAAGTGGCAAAATCCAACAAGGTGTTGTATTCAGAAGCTTCTTCTGCCATTATAAAGTTATACAGTTATACAGTATAATTATTATACAGTATATATATATATATACTGTATGTATATATAATTATACAGTTATAACACCTCCCGATGTAAGGTTTATGCCACAGCTCCCCTAAAGTAACAGTATATGTAATTGCCAAAATCATTTTTCATTTTTTCTGTATTGGCAAGATCTTTAATCAAAGTGACATTTTTTTAGTTTAAAAATAATTTTTAAAAATTTATTCTAATTTATTCTAAAATGTTTGTTGTTGTTATTACCAAAACACATATGTCTGAACAACAGTGTTCTATGTCAGGTTGATGACCTTAAGTTGAAGATTCAGTATCTGAATGGGAGGTTTAAGAAGCCAGTCCTGAAAAAGGTGCGGATGTCAGCCGATGCCATGCTGGCTGGCCTGCTGGGCTCCAAACATAAAGTGTCCATGGACCTGAGAGCCAGCCTTAAGCAGGTTAAGAAGGAAGTGAAGGACGAGGTAGGTGCTTTTGATGTTATATTAGGCAGATGGAGCACATAGTAGCATCCTTCACTGAAAAAAATTAGTAAGATCAGAACGCAACATGAAAGGCTTCACTTTTTGTTACTGCTTTCCTTTGAATGTGTTTCTTAGGAGAAGCAAACGGGCGACTGGGGTAGAAAAAATCAAAGACAAAACTGGCATGGGTGGAAGAAAAAAGATGTTCGATACAGAGCCTTAAATGTCAGCATGTTTTTTCTGCAGTTCACCACTGCCAAGATTTGCCAGAAGTCCCTTTTTTAAATAAATAAAAAAGAATAAATCCAGTGGTGTTCTGATGTATTTAATGAATGTAATTTGACAAATGCAAACAGGCTGATAAAGAGCACAGGCTGTGAATGTTCCGCATGCGTATAAATCGAGGTGAACTCGTTTTATGAATTCCAAGAGCAAGAAATGAGACAGAAGTGTTGAAAAGCAGCTGAAAAAATGTTTTCTAAATCCGTCCAGCTCATTATTAATAAAGTTTTTTTTTTTTTTTTTGGTAGGGTTGTCGGTCACGTGAGAATACGCGACGTCACGAAAACCCTGTGATACACTGGTTGTGGAAGTAAATCAGTACTGGCAACAGAGGGCTGCTTTCTTTCTAATATTTCCAGATAAATACCTGTAAATAGAGCAAAACCAACCGCTTTAAGACGCTGAATTACCCTTCCTCAGAACCAAAATGACAGCGGCGGTGTTTTTCGGCTGCACCTTTATCGCCTTCGGCCCAGCCATCGCGTTGTTCCTGTTTACCATTGCCCGGGAGCCGCTGAGAGTCATTTTCCTCATAGCAGGGTGAGAGTTAAACATTCACTGGTCATAACGGACGGCAACTGACTTAAATATATAATAATTTGGTAATTACAGATGCTACTGCCACGTTATATTGAATAAATCCCAACCTTTAGACAGTGTTAGCTTACTAGCTAACCGATCGTTTCGTTTCTTAGCTGATGTGCTATCATTAGCTTCTATTCTCTGGTATTATGGTCTTACACTTTGCTGGTTTTTTTCTTTAGCCATACGTCACCACATTCCGATTTACACAGCTTCATAAATACACCGACCTTTTAAAGTTTTAAAGCCCCAGCAATGCCTGATATTAGCCACCCAAAGATAGGAAAGAGCTAGCTTAATGAGAGCCTGAGGGACTTTTATTAGTTTTGTTTCTTATGGATCTTGCAGATATTGGAGGATGCTGACGACTTATGTCAGTAAAAGGTGGCTGTATACACACACGTAGTTAGTTAGCACTATGGTGGATTGGCTTTTGAAATAATTCATTGCTATTGTAGTGTTATAGGGTTCAGATACGGTCTTGACCTAAGTGAGATATAAGCTTGTGATCATAATTGTGGTTGTTGATTGATAACATACATCTTACCGGTTAATTTGTAAAAGTGCCGTGACGTTACGTTTGTGTTCGTTGACACTTTGTCTCCTTGTTATGGTCAATTAATTCTTGCTATTTGAAGTAAAAGTAACTAAATAGTCCTCTGGTATCTCAAGATAATCCTGATTGTGCTATCACTTCGGTGCTGCTCCTCAGTTCCTCCTCAGTCTGGAAGTATTTTTTTCTTAACCCTCCCTTTACTTTCATTTAATTGGCTGACCCTCGCAAATAGAACTGTTGAAAAAATAAAGGAGTCAGGCTTCTGGGCTCACAGCAATACTGGAATTGCTGTGAGCCCAGAAGCTTTGAGATAGCAGTGTGGGTAATATCTGTTTTCTTTGTTCTCATTCTTTCAGGGCATTTTTCTGGCTGGTGTCGCTGCTGTTCTCCTCCCTGGTGTGGTTCATCTCGGTTCAGATCAGTAATAAAGAGAGCGCGGCTCAGCAGAAAGGCCTGCTCATCTTTGGCGTGGTGCTGTCTGTGCTCTTGCAGGAAACCTTCCGCTTCGCTTACTACAAGCTACTAAAGTAAGTGGCCGCCACCATGTTTAACTGTTTTATACTTTATATAGTGTGACTCCAGAGAACTGTTTCTTACTAGAAGAGCTGAAAGCCCATACTTCAACTTCCTCAACACGTATTCACTATTTATTATTTATTTAACTAAGAAATATTAAAGCATGACCTCTGAATTCTGCACTGTATCGTTGTTGTCCCTTGATGAGTGTCTGTCTCAGTTGTCTCAGTTTCACACTCTTCAGTGTGAACTTGTACAATTTTCATTGTTCATCTCAGATCATCTTCCACTAAATGACATACTTTCATAACTGACATATTTTCTATTCATGTTCTGTAGCACACAGTGAGACTCAGAACCAAAACTCTGTGTGTGTGTTTTCCTGCAGGAAAGCAAATGAAGGCCTCCTCACTCTCAGCCAGGAGGAGACCATGCCCATCTCCATCCGACAGCTGGCCTATGGTACACTTAGTCTGCACATCATCTTCTGTGCTTCATATCACCTACTGGTAGCATATTCATTCACCCACGATTCTGCCAGAAGACAGAACATTGAGCACTGGTTACCTCTTTACAACTTTATCATTGTTTGTTTTTGGTTTTAAAACTCACTTTTGTACTATTCTGTAAAAAAATTTTTTAAATATACAAGAAACATTAGCATAAAAATGGCAAATGCACTGTATGGACAAAAGCACTGGACCACATGCATATTATAGCTATAGGAGCTGCTCAGCCATATAGACCCATACCTTGAAGCTTCCAGCACAGTGTTTGTGCTGATGTCAATATCAGTGGTTTTAATGGGGAGGATTGGAGCTCTGCAATGCCACTTAGTGATCATAAAATATCTATGGGGAAATTTCACAAACAGACTATTTACAATGATCATATTCTACTACATTGCTACACTCTAGTTCAGTGAGCTCTTTAGAGTGACCCCTTGTTTCACAAACATTTGTAAAGCGAGACTTCATGGAAAGATGCTTGATTTTACACACCTGTATTCAGATGTTAAGAGGTGTGGATCGAAACCTTTGGCCGTATATCATATGAGCACAAACTGTGAAAGTGCTACCGTCGTTGTTGCTAACGACAAAGCATTAAAACAGGCGCTTGTCCGTGCGTAGTGTGGTTATATTAAATATAAGAGAAAGAGAGAACTTTAAGAAATGAATATAGCCACAACAGTGACCATCAAAACAATGAAAAAAATATTGCCGTAAACATTTTATTAGGCGACACCATGAAACAAACGATAGCGTAAAATCAAACGATAGACGATATCGAACAGCCCTAGTGGTCCCTAGCTATAATGCGGTGCGCTGTTTCGTGGATTTTCTTTGGTGCAATTTTGCAGTTTTTTTTTTAAGCAGCACATTGTGTTCTGCATCCTGATTGGCCGTAGACCATTGTCAATCAATCTCCTCTGTGCTGTGTCTCCTGTACAGTACAGAATGTCTGCAGCTTGTTGAATTTACATAAATCTTTGATCGCTTGCAGTGTGACTCTGAAGTACTGTACTGTATGTTTGTAAATTTTCTCCCCAACAAACACAACAATGTTAATGAAACGTTTTGCACCGTCAAAGGCACCTGTGGTAGCACCCAAAAGGCAGAGGAAGATGGTAACCATAGCACAAAAAGTTGGACTTCTGGACATGCTAAGGGAAGATAGAAGTTACCATATTTTTCGGACCATAAGGCACACTGCATTATGAGGTGCATTAAGTAAAACAAAACAGTCAGATAAGTCAAACTTTACTCAAGTCATTCTTCCACCATTGATTCATTAATGTTGAATTCTCTGGCAGCTGCTCTATTCCCATGTTCTGGACCTGAAACAGGGTTTGATCTTTGGTTTCATTCTACAATACTGGACTTATTTTTCTATGAAGGTTTGAATTTTGAGGGTGTTTAAACAAGAGAGAAAAATGTTCATGCCTGTCTGAGAAAACTGTCTAAAGTGTCTAGTGAGGAGTGTTACAGCCTTAAAACATCTATAATACTTGTGAAAAAAATGAAATTGGCTACTTTGTGGACTTCACCTATCGCGGGTTATTTTTACAATGTAATTCCTGTGATAAGGGACCATTCAATTCAATTCAATTCAATTTTATTTATATAGCGCCAAATCACAACATAAGTCGCCTCAAGGCCATTCATCTTGCATAGTGCCGAATTTGCTTTGGGATTAGCATCGCACAGTCTTTCTTATGTCTCAGCTGTCTTCTCATTCTTTTGTCTCAGTTTCAGGTCTCGGCTTCGGCTTCATGAGCGGAGCGTTCTCTGTGGTGAACATCCTGGCTGACTCAGCAGGGCCGGGGACTGTGGGGATCCATGGAGACTCGCAGCACTACTTCCTGTCCTCAGGTAACAATTAGCATGTACTTGTTTTTTGTTTGTTGTTTATTTTATTGTCAAAAACCTTTACGTTTCTGCCGTTGAGCGAGTCCATAGATTCGTAAAACCTTTTTCTTTCTTGTGTTCTCTTCACACACACACACACACACACACACACACACACACACACACACACACACACACACACACACACACACACACAGTCATTCACCAGATGAACTACTTCCACTGCTGGAACCAGAGTCCAGACGGGGAGATTCTTATTCTACTTTGGAGTATAAATGATTGTGTCTTTGTTTTTGTTTTTTCTTTCACTTTTGAGCCAGTTGCCACAAAAAAACTATGTATTTCAGAGTTTTGGACTTCTAGCTGAAACAATACAGAGCACAGAATAAATGTATTATGTTCTATTGTGTGGTCTTATTAAAAAGCATTCTGGGAAATGTTGCATTAAAACTAATCGCCGTTAAAAGTGTAACTATATTAGATTTATATGTAGAACATGATTTGTTAAAATTGCACGTCTCTTTCAGCCTTCATGACGATGGCCATCATCCTGCTTCACATGTTTTGGGGCGTTGTTTTCTTTGATGCTTGTGAGAAGCAGCGCTGGTGGGCGGTGGCAGCCGTTGTCATCAGTCACCTCTTGGTCTCCTGTCTGGTGAGTGTGGTTTGTACGGAATGTGGACTTGAGTCTATGTGAAGGCAGGAAAAAACACTAACAAGAGCTCACAGTCAAAAACTATGCAAGGAAAGTATTTTTATGTCTTAAATGTCTTGAGTCAGTTTTCTTTTCTTTTTTTTTAAATCAAACCTCTCAAGCCTCATAAATCTTCTCTTTTTATTTTATTATAGTATATTATAGTATCTTATAGTAAATAAGAGTCATGTTTTCGGGGCACACGACTGTGCTTGGACAAACGGCCATTTAACAACATCAACTTGGCGACTCAGATTTGTAATGAAAGTCTCTCTTGCTCTCTCTTTATATGCCTGCAATTAGTTACTTTAAAGAATTGAGATAAAATACTAAACAGTGTCCACTGATGTTTTTTTATCTTGTCTTCTACCGCAGACCTTCCAGAACCCTGAGTACGTCGCAAGCCTTGTTCCCACCTACGTCATCCTGTTCCTAATGGGTGTCTGGGCGTTCTACTCCGCCGGCGGCTCGCTCAAGAACCTCAAACTCTGCCTCACCTGCAAAGACAAGGACTTGCTTCTTGCCAACCACAGGCCTAGATAACGCAGCACACCTAGCAGTGTGCAGGACTCTTTATACAAGGATCACAGAGATCCCACACAAACACACACACACACATTGGACACAGTGAGGAAGGAGTGTTAACCCTGTTAAATCTGCTATTTGATTTGAGACTTTCATCATCTTAAGCGTTAAAACATTTAAAAGGTTTTGTGGGAACAAAGATGGGAGATCGTTTTGATTCCAGTCCAGCTTGGAAAAGGTTTTTATTCAACAGTATAACATATCCATTTTGGCTAACTGTGTGCCCTTTTTGTGGTCTGCACTGTAAGAAAAAACAAACCCACAGAAGATACTTTAGATTGGGGGCTTAAAGCAGCAGCACTCTTTATACATACTCTCAGATGCTTCAAATCTTTCCTAGTGTTTTATTATTTCTAAAGAAAATGTGTATATAATTATGCATTTTTGAATTCCCTAATGTGTAAATATTAAAACCTTTCTTCAAGGTGCGATATGCTGTCTGTGGTCTGAATATGAACCTGCGTTTGATTCTAAATGCACTTGCTAATGATTACTAATTGTTTGTAATCAGTCATCAGTCAGTCAGTAATCTTGACGTAATAGACCCTTGAGCAAATAGAAAGTAGAGAATCTAAATCAAACAAAATAGTTTCTTTTGTTGTTTGTCCTTGTGTGTTTTGGTTGTTCTTATGAGTGCAAGGATTTAGGATAAAGAATTATTTACAAACATTTTGTTTCTGTGCCTGATTTTGTTTTTGATCATCTTTTGTATTTGTAGATTCTGTCTGCTGTGTCTCCCAAGGATGGGAGGTACATTAGAGATGTAAATTGTATCCATGTTTGCATTGAGTTCATTACTTTTCTGCCTTGTTTTGGCACTTTGCTACATGACAAAATGTGATTTGGTGTAGTCTTATAGGTGGAGATGAGCCTGTTAGCTGGTCAGTTGGTACACCAGGCTGAAACTGATACAACAATCCTGCAATAACTCTTACCTTCATGATGTCATGCTGTTTAATCCTACTGTAATTCAAAGAGAAGTGTTTCTTTTGTGAGTTATATCCAAGAAATGGGGAAAGAAATTATTGTGTGCTCACTTTCAGTTTTTACTTCATATTGTAAAACACATTCAGCTCTCCCTCTGCATTAAGTTAACTTTAAATTTCTTGTTTATTTCTAGAAGGTTGCATTTCCTTTTATCACCATTGTTGGATAGGTTTTAAGTGTGTACAATACTTCAATGACTAAAGGAATAATAATAAAAAATGATATTCCTGTCATTCTTTATATCAATTGATTAATTAAGCTATTGTTTTTTTAACAGGTGTTTTACAGGTGCCCATGATTATTCACTAGTGACTGTGTAAAATATATTTAAAATTGTCTGATTAGTATAAAAAGAAACTAAAGATTTTCAGTTTTCCTTTACTGCCAACTCCAAAAACCAAGCACATGTTCACACCAAAGATTTCTGCTTAAATAGGATATTTTATGACAAATTTCTCCTCTTTGTTTCTTTTCTTTCACTCTACTAGAGCAACTTTGCATGATACCAATTTCTGTACTTCATCTACTGTCTGAAACAAGGATTTTGGCTCCTCCCCCTTGCGTTAACCCAGCTTCCCACCCCCCCTCCCCCCTGATTGGTTACTCATATTAAACAGACAGTTTGAGCCAATGAGGCTTTTGTGATCACAGCCAGAGCTCTGACATCACACAGAGCCAAGAGCAGAAATAAATTGTCTGAAACTAAACTTGTGCAGTGGTTTAGACTACTTATATATACAGTCATTTAAAGATTTCAAACTTTGGTTCTGTTTCGCAGGAGAATCTGGTGGGAAATACCACTTGAAAACAGCATTCAAAGTAATGAACATTAACATGTATAATAACATCAGAGGGTGTTTAACTAGCCTTGTTTGGTCAAAAATAATCAAAAAGTAATAAGAAAGACCAGACAGCAGCCATTTTCTTTTAAGTTTATACAGAAACAGTAGGTCAGTTCATTGGACCTTTAATGAGAAGTCTACAGGGGACAAAGCAGGCGCCAGGTTTCCGATATAGTGCATGTCTGTGCGTGTGTGAGCGAGTGAATGTGAGAGGGATGAAGCAAAAAGCCTTTCTTGCTTCAGATGCTTCAGTTTGCTTGTTTGTAAAGATGAGGAGCTGTTAAAGTGGGTATGTTCATGTCATTAAAAGGACTAATCACAAAAGAAAAATGATAAATCACCTTTTAATGTTTCACCCTAAAACATTCCTCCATTCTGCCACTCCTGCGCTCCTCAGGTAATGTTTCCATTTATGAAAGCAGACACCTCCAGGCTGGGCTACACAAAGCTCACCGGGGTCTCAGAGGGTTTTGGTCAGTCAAAGGCCTTTTTAAAAAAAAAAAGTTAGACAACAGACAGACAGATTCAGGAAGCGTTTCCTCTGCCGAAAAGGCAACTTTCAAATGCAAATATGAGCCTGTGCAGCCAGTGACACCGGGGTCACCTCAACAATATCAAAAGTCTCACTCCTGAGGCTTTTGTGTCCCGCTGGATGTTCGAGGGTCAGGTGTCCAGCCAAAGATGAACTACTTCCACTGCTGGAACCAGAGTCCAGACAGGGAGATTCTTATTTTACTTTGGAGAATAAATGATTGTGTGTGTGTGTTTGTTTTTTTTCTTTCACTTTTGAGCCAGCTGCCACAAACAAATTGTATGTCTTTCAGAGTTTTGGACTTCTAGCTGAAACAATACAGAGCACAGCCTAAATGTATTATGTCCATGTATTATGTGTGGTGTTATTAAAAGGCATTATGGGAAATGTTGCATTAAAACTAATCGCCGTTAAAAGTGTAACTATATTAGATTTATATGTAGAACATGATTTGTTAAAATTGCACGTCTCTTTCAGCCTTTATGACAATGGCCATCATCCTGCTTCACATGTTCTGGGACGTTGTTTTCTTTGATGCCTGTGAGAAGCAGCGCTGGTGGGCGGTGGCAGCCATTGTCATCAGTCACTTCTTGGGCTACCCTGTCTGGTGAGTGTGGTTTGTACAGAATGTGGACTTGGGTCTGTGTGAAGGCAGGAAAAAACCACTAGCTCACAGTCAAACAACAATGCAACGAAAGTATTTTTTATGTCTCATATGTCTGAGTCAGTTTTCTTTTTTTAAATCAAACCTCTCAAGCCTCATAAATGTTCTCTTTTTATTTTATTTTATATGTATGTTTATATAAATATGTTTTCGGGGCACGCAGCGCTACTTGGACAAACGACCATTTAACAACATCAACTTGGCGACTCAGATTTGTAATGAAAATCTCTCTTGCTCTCTTTTTATAGGCCTACAATTAGTTACTTTAAAGAATTGAAATCAAATGCTAAACAGTATGCGCTGCTGTTTGTACCTCGTCTTCTACCGCAGACCTTCCAGAACCTCGCAAGCCTCGTTCCCACCTACGTCATCCTGTTCCTAATGAGAGAGGGTTTTGCTTCACAAAGCACACTTTCCCGGCAAATGTTGCTCATTTAAATGTTTTAAAACATAACTGAACCCAGATACTACTTTCATCACAATGCAGCATTGCATATTACATATTTAAGAATAAGCATATTACTTATCCATTTATCTAGTTTGCAAAGTTTTCCTTCTTACCAGCAGGTGGCAGTAGAGAAAAAAATAGGTGAGTTCTTTAAAAAAGAGCTAAGTTGATTTCTTGTAAATGTGATGCAAATTGAAAACGTGGTCACAGATCTAATTTAATGCTAGTATATGTCATTTCGTGGATTCTGGATATGCGCATATATTTGTACATTTCTTTTCCCCAGTGCTTTATTTTTCTTGAGTAGACAATGATTTAAGGCTGCCAATTAATTATTGTCAACATTGCCCATTTACTGTTAACCTTGCTGGGTCTGATTTTATGTTGTCTGTAGTATTTGTCTTCAAACTCAGACTGTGGACAAGTCTGTCTGATATCAGGTGACTTTTTAAATCTTTTGTTTGGAGAAGTAGCCCGTTTCAGTGCATGTCAACTGTTCCTCTCAGGGATAAAATTCCCAGTTCCTCTCTGGTAACCAACCTGACTGACTTAATCTGTGATATGGGAGTTATTATATGTATCACAAAAATCTCTCTCACACAAAAAAATGTACACTGTAAAACCTTCATATATATTGACACACCACATTCAGTTGATTGTTTTAGAGTACTGTGCAGAAGTAACAAATAAACAGGAAAAAAATCGGGGTGGCTGTGGCTCAGGTGGTAGAGCAGATCAGCTACTGATTGGAAGGTTCACAGCAAATTCAAAAGTGTTAAATGTTTTGGTGTTAATAGTCTCCTTGCAAAAGTAGAGTTAATTTTACTGTAAGCAGAGTCACATTCTTTTAATGTAACTCTGAGGTGTAAAATGATAGTAGTTAAAATCGAGTGTTAAAAATGAGTGTTTCTATGTCAAATCTGGAGGTGTTACAATGGAAACATTAACTCTTGACCTCTTAACTCTGAACTCCTACAGGGGCTATGACACCAACAGAGTAAATTCACAGACTCCGCCCCCAGCACGGCTCCAATCAAAGCTGAAGTGAAGCCGTTTCAGAACATTTTGCTCTACATATTTGAGTTGTTTGCCATGCTTGGTAAGTCATTTTTTCAAAGATTGTTTCAATTATTATTATTAGCTTTTACTTCTGTGGCTCTTTGGAGTTGAGACAAAGCTGTGTGAAAGGCATTAGCCATGTTGCTCGCTGATAGCATAATATTCTGTTTTAGCTAGCTGAAAGGTATCGTTTGCGGGCAAATACCACAGCCTTGAAAAAAAGCTTGCATGTGAATTTTCAGTCAAACTTTTGGTCAAATACACCTAAAACAATATCTAGAATGTGAAATGTTGGTTATAATGGTGCTACTTGAAGCCTGAAAACGATCGCCCATAAAAACAAACAAACGAGCAAAAAGCAGTAGCAGGCGTCCTGACTGGGTTCTACGTTAGCATAGATCCCTCCAGAGTTTTGTGCACACGGTTTAGGTAAAAATGAAAAAGGTTGCGGTTTTACATTTAGTTAAGTATTACCTGTTGCCTGTGTCCTTGTCTTTTGGGAAAATACTTTACACAAGTAATGACTCAAAGAGGATTCCTTTTTTTTTTTTTTTTTTACTGTGCTGCAATTGTTTACTGGATTATTTGTGCCATTAATTAGTGTCAACAAATTTTTATTCAATCTCCGCGCAGGATATGCTTGTGAAGATGGAATATGGGGGAGAGCAGAAGTGCGTTGAAGTTCCACAAAGTGATGAATGAAGGACATGCATATTGTATTGAAGAAATAAGTGATGAGAATGCTGTTATTTGCATTTACCATGTCAGACCTTTTGATAAACAAAATTCTAATGAAAGTGAGAACATGTACACTGTTACATCTTTCAGATAATGTTTTGAAATTGTGGTGCACAGTTCAGAATAAATGTTTTTCAAAAACCATTGCGTCTTTTTAGTAAATGTTTATTTCCAAAAGAAATGTCTAGAAGTTCAGAACAGTAAAATTCCCGCTTTTTAGAATGAATTAGAAGATAACTCTTACGTAGTTAAACTAAAATACTCTTTGAGAGTTAATATATAAACTCTTAACACCAAGTGTTAAATTATCAACTCCAGACAGATTTGGTGTTTAACACTAAATCAGAGTTAACGTACCAACTCTCCAAAAAGAGTTAAATTAACACTCTCTGGTGTGGACCCATATAGACACTTTAATAGTGTTGAAATCAAATCCGACAGTGTTAATTTGGACATGCTGGATTTGCTGTGTTGGTGGTTCGATCCTTGGCTTCCTTAATCTACATACCAAATATCCTTCGGCAAGACACTAACCCGAAGTTGCCCTCGGATGTGTTCATCGGAGCGTTAATGTTGGTTAGTTTGCATTTGAGTTTAGAAGTGCTTGTGTGAATGAGGCATGTTACATACAGTGCTTTGAGTACTCTGGGAGAGTAGAAGGTGCTGTACATGCTTTAGTCATATTGATGTTCAGGCCCTGGGAAGGCCAGTCTATGAATCCATTGTGTATTTTTCTATTTGCGTATGCTTTTGCCACATTGGCAATGTGTTTGGAATCATCATCATTGTGAAAAATAAAACTGTTTATGATCAGACACTTTCCACTCGGTATTACATGTTGGATCAAAATCTGACTGTACTTTTCTATGTTTCTAATTCCATCAATTTTAATAAGATCCAACACCTCTGGCTGCTGCGCTCAAACCACGACAGAGCCTTCAACATGTTTT